TACGGAATTTTGTATTGATGTAAATTTACGGAATTTTAATGTTAATATAAATTTTTTATAATAAAATTCTAAAAATTCAATATAATAAATAGATTTTCTAATAGACAAAAATGTTTAACAGTATCAAAAAAATTTTTTAGACATAATATTCTATAATTTTAATACAGTATTAAATTTTCATAATTTTTAATATAATATTTTGTAATTTTAACATATTGTTAAATTTTTGTAATTTTTTGAGTGTAATATTCTGTAATTTTAATATGGTAATAAATTTTCATAATTTTTCACATAATATTCTGTAATTTTAACATAACGTTAAATTTCTATAATTTTTTGAACGTAATATTATGGAATTTTAATATTTTAATAACTTTCGAAAATTTCCATAAATTTTTGTAATATTACACCTGAAAAAATTTCCTGATGGAAGATTCTAAATCTTCCCAATTATCTTCTTCTCTTCTTTATGCTGTATGTTCAAAACAAAAAAAAAGTACACACAAATTTATTCCAGTAGTAGAAAATAATAACGATAATAATTTATTTATTACTGATGATGATGTAGAAATAATCTCTTCTCTACTTTTATTAAAAAGAAAAATTCATACTGTACCTTCAAAACGACAGAAAAGTAAACACAAACTTACACCAGTAGCAGAAAATAATAATAATGATAATTTGTCTATTGCTAATGATGATACAGAAATAATCTCATCTACCTCCTCTTCTCCAAAAAGAAAAACTCATACTGTACCTCCAAAACAATGGAAATCGATTTCAGTAACAGAAAATAATAATAATAATGATTTATCAATTTCTGATAATGATATAGAAATAATCCCATCTACTTCTCCACTTTTATTAAAAAGAAAAACTAATACTATACCTTCAAAATGATGAAAAAGTATACACAAACTTACACCAGTAGCAGAAAATAATAATGATGATAATTTGTCCATTGCTGATGATGATATAGAAATAATTCCATCTACTTCCTCTTCTTCACTTTTATTAAAAAGAAAAAGTCGTACTATATTTCCAAAACAACAGAAAAGTATATATAAACCTACTTCAATAATAGAAAATAATAACAATGATAATCTACTTGTTACTGATGATAATATAATTCCATCTACTTCCTCTTCTCCAAAAAAAAAAACTTGTACTATATCACCAAAATAACGGAAAAATACATACAAACTAACTTCAGTAATAGAAAATAATAATAATAATAATCTGCTTACTGCCAATGATGATATAGAAATAAATATTTCTCCATTAAGTGAAATTCGAAAACATATAGAAGAAAAAGTATTAAATAAAAGAAAAATTAAGGAAATTGAAAAAATATTTGAAAATAGTAGTAATGATGATAGTGATAATAGTGATGATAGTAATAATAATAATAATAGTAATGAAAAAAGTAATAAACAAGAGTTAATTTAAGAAGAAGAATAATTTTTTCTTTATTTATATATAAATTTTTTTTCGTTTAAATTTGTTTATATATATAATTTTTTT